AATAGAATAGAATAGAATAGAATAGAATAGAATAGAATAGAATAGAAGGACCCAGAATTAAAACAAGAACACTATGCCTGCTTAATTTTTGACAATGGCAAAAACATTCATTTGGAAAAAGCCTGTTCAACAAGTAGTGCTGGCAAAACTGGATGTCCACAAGCAGAATGAATTCAGATTCTTTCACCTTATACAAAAATAAATTCAAAGTAGATCAAAGACCACTGAAATTTCTAGAGGAAAACAGTCCCTTTCAAGACATTGGAGTAGGCAAGAACTTTCTGAATAGAACACCAAAACCCAAGACGTAGTTCAAATTATCAACATATAGGGACTACATGAAAATAAGAGTTTCTGTACAGCAAAAGAAACTGTTAGGAGAGCAGAAAGCCCATAGACTAGGGAAAACAGAACAAACAAAAAATGTTACTAACTAGACTTCAGAAAAGATGCTAATACCAGAATTTATAATGAATTGCAACAATTAAATACCAAGGAAATAAAATCCTAATCAACAAATAGGCAAATAAATGGAATAGTTTTAACAAAACCACACAGATGGCCAGTAATTATTTTAAAATAATTACACATAGTCAGACTGGTCTTCATCAATAAATTTGACAGAATGTTAGAAAGAAAGGACTCCTTATTCACTGTTCATGGGAGGTGCAAATTAATACATCCATTGTGTTAAAGAGCTTGTATATTTTTCAAAAAATTAAAAATAATACCCAGAGAACTTCATGACCTACCAGAAAGATAATTATACTCCATGTTTATTGTTGCTTTATTCACTAAAGAGTTGGAATCAACCTACTTATCTATCAACAGATGAATGTATAATTTATAAACACACGTGTGTGTGTGTGTGTGTGTGTATGGAATAAATACTACTTAGCTCTAAAGGGAAAAAAATCACAAAATTTGAAAGAAAGTTAACAAGTTTACAATGTACTTCGAGTGTATATATTAAAAGAGAAACCCTTAGTCATTACTGGTGGGGATGTAAATTAATACAGTCATTAGTTTTTGATAAGGCTTTGTCAGAAAATGAAACAGCCTTAAAGCATAAAGAAAGACGTAACTTGTAGCTTGTTTTCTTTATAGTAATGCATATTTATATAATTCATTGCTTTTCAGATGCGGTGGTGCTAGGATTTGTTATATTTTCCATGAGACTTTTGGGCGAACCTTAGAATCTGTTGATCCACTAGGTGGCCTTAACACTATTGACATCTTGACTGCCATTAGAAATGCTACTGTGAGTAACAACAGAAGGTTAAAGCTTCATTTGCTTAAGCATATTTAAGTTAATGTACAGTTTATTTTGTTCTCATACTTGAAATATTCTTTAGGAAAAAGAACAAAAATGGGATCCTTTTTGTAATCCTTTGGAAGACCTGAAATTGTTCATAGCTATAATAACAAGAAGCTAAGTTTTGTGTTTTCAGGGCCCCCGTCCTGCTTTATTTGTGCCTGAAGTTTCATTTGAGTTACTGGTCAAACGTCAGATTAAGCGTCTAGAAGAGCCCAGCCTCCGGTGTGTGGAACTGGTCCATGAGGAGATGCAGAGGATCATTCAGCACTGTAGCAATTACAGCACACAGGTACTGTGAGCAGAGCAGGGCTCACCAGATAGCCCTGTTCTCATGAGATGAGAGGAGATGAGCTAAGAGTAAAATCATTTGTTCTTTACCTAAGACCAATTTGAAGTGGCATTCTTAAATGTAAGATCCAAATCTAATACAGTACTTCAGTGACTATTTAATTTTCAGTTAGACAGACTAACACTTTTACTTCTTTATTACATACAGGAATTGTTACGGTTCCCTAAACTTCATGATGCCATAGTTGAAGTAGTGACTTGTCTTCTTCGTAAAAGGTTGCCTGTGACAAATGAAATGGTGAGCTTTTGTTTTGTTTGAATTGCCATTAGTTTCCATGAGGATAGAGTATTGTTGACTTTCTTGAGTAGCTGCTTCCGTTCTGTGCTGCCATTGATTTTTGTGGGAAATTGTTTCTGTCTCTGGTCTCAGTGACCAGACCTTTACAGCAAGCTTACTTTTATTCTGAAGCATATCAGGGTAATTTGGCCTCTTCCACATTTTGCTTGTTCTATATCCTAATGATAGCAGTCAGTTACTACTATAGTGAGCTGTAGTAGCTATCCACTCCCATCCACATTAAAAATGCTGAAATTGAAATTACACTTTATGCCCCCAAGTGGATAGCAGTTTTTTGATTTTTTTGTTTGTTTGTTTGGTTGGTTGGTTTTTCGAGACAGGGTTTCTCTGTGTAGCCCTGGCTGTCCTGGAACTCACTCTGTAGACCAGGCTGGCCTCGAACTCAGAAATCCGCCTGCCTCTGCCTCCCAAGTGCTGGGATTAAAGGCGTGCGCCACCGCTGCCCAGCTAGTTTTTTTGATTTCCTTCTGGCCACTAAAAATGCATTTGAGCCTCCCTTGAAGTTCATTAATAGTATCCTTGGAAGTCTTGGTGAGTGGCTGCTGAGTGGTCAGTTTTGTAGCAGGAATTACTGTTAGAGGCAGAAGTCTAAGCCTGATCTCACTCTCTACCCACCAGCATCATAGAATCACTAGAAATTTATATCAACAGTTCTGCACTATTAAGTGGTGTTCTGAAACTTGAGACAGTACAGGGCAGTCATGGGAGCCTTGGTTCCTCTTGTATGACTTCTATATTTTTACATGTACCTTGTTATTTAATTCGGATTTAACTTGGCCAACAAACAGCTAATGGGCTAACAAGTAGCTCACAATTGTGTTCATTTGGTACTTGATAAGTAATACTTTGATAGTTTTTCTTTTGTTCAGAGTTGGCAGTAGAGGAGTCAGTTTTAGAGAAAAGCTTCGACCAGAAACACTTAAAGACTAGAAGATAAAAACACATTAAGAGTGCCCATGGTCCTGTAAACAATCTCTTACCCTCACCAGTATGTCTGTAAGCAACCCTAATGAAACTCAGGGGGTCAAGTCATTAAAGACCTGAGAGAAGTGGGGCTGCTAGCTGGGAAGAGAATGGTCAGCGAGGGGAGGGGAGGGAGGGAGACAAGAAGGGCAGTAGTGAGTATGATTAAAATGTGTGAAGACATCACAAGTGAAACCACTTGTGGATAACTAATATGCATTAATTGTTTTAAAGATAAAGATTTAAGTTCATTCTCTGTAAGCCTTAGGAATTGTGTAGAAGACTGAAAACATGAGTCTTCATGTTCCTTTTGAATGCTGTGTCATTAGACTTTTAGTCCTATTCATTTAATCTGTATGTTTCATGGTTAAAGCTAAGTCATAACTAACTACCTTAGGCTTAAATGTTTATTATTCGAATACAATTAGCATTTTTACTTATGCCTACTTAACTATTTGTTTTTAAATTGAACATAAACTTTGACACTATAATGTCTGATCTGAAGTGTGAATAACAAAGTTACTTATTGAAGGCTTGGAACTTAAAATTCCATCAGGTAAATAATTTTTCCCAGTAATAGGCAATTACTTTAAAGCTATCTTAATGTCATGTTTCCTTTCTTAGAAGTGTAATTGTAAGTAAATGATTTAAGAGTTAATTGTCATTGGGCATAAAGTGTTATTTGGAGTATAGTCACCAAGTGTATGAAAATGTTTCTTATACTTGCAATATTGTCTGTATAATAAGTTTTTCATATTTAGACTTCTCAAGGTTAGGTTAGACTGGCATGTTTTTTATATTAGCCTTATTTTTGTTTTGTTTTTTTGTAGGTACATAACTTAGTGGCAATTGAGCTAGCATATATCAACACAAAGCACCCTGACTTTGCTGACGCCTGTGGGCTAATGAACAATAACATAGAGGTGAGTAGGATAGAGCACTAGCTCCTCTTTCAGAGGACCTGGGTTCAATTCCCAGCACCCATGTGGCAGCACACAACCATCTGTAACTCCAGGTCCAGGGAATCTGACATCTTCTTCTGGCCTCCATAGACACCAACATGCATGTGGTACACAGACATACATACATGCAGGCAAGATACCCATACACATAAAATAAAAATATTTTGAAAAGTAGGCACATACTTCCTTGGTTCTTGTAACATTGAAACCAACATAAGTGGACTATTTTAGTTAGAACAGTTTTGTTTTAACTAACAGGGTCATGGGCTGGAGAGATGGCTCAGTGGTTAAGAGCACTCCTCTGCCAGAGGTCCTGAGTTCAATAACCAGCAACCACAGGGTGGCTCACAACCATCTGTAATGGGATTCGATGCACTCTTCTAGTGTGTGTCTGAAGTCAAATGCAGTGTACTCATATAAATAAAAATAAATAAATATTAAAAAACAACAGGGTCATGTATAACAAGTGTGTTAGGGTTTTATACAATGCTAACTATAGAACCTCTGTAGAACTTATAGAATAAATATAATATTAAAATCTGTATGTTCTATCATGTTAATTTTTTTTCTGTCTTTAACTTTTCACCTAAAGCTTTATTTTATGGTTTTTAAGTTCTCTCATATATTACATCTCAACCACAGTCTCTCCTCCCTGTCTCCTTCCCCACCTCCC